TTGATTAATTTAAAAAAAAATTGAGTTTCTCAGAATATCAAACTGTAATTAACTTTAAAAAATGAAGATTACAAAATCGTAATTAATTCTAAAAAATTAGGTTGCTCAGAATATAAAACAGTAATTAATTTTTTAAAAATTGAGTTACTCAGAATATAAAGCAGTAATTAATTGTTTAAAAAATTGAGTTGCTCAGAATATAAAACAGTAATTAATTTTTTAAAAATTGAGTTACTCAGAATATAAAGCAGTAATTAATTGTTTAAAAAATTGAGTTGCTCAGAATATAAAACAGTAATTAATTTTTTAAAAATTGAGTTACTCAGAATATAAAGCAGTAATTAATTGTTTAAAAAATTGAGTTACTCAGAATATAAAAGAGTAATTAATTTTTTAAAAAATTGAGTTGCTCAGAATATAAAACAGTAATTAATTTTTTAAAAATTGAGTTACTCAGAATATAAAGCAGTAATTAATTGTTTAAAAAATTGAGTTGCTCAGAATATAAAACAGTAATTAATTTTTTAAAAATTGAGTTACTCAGAATATAAAGCAGTAATTAATTGTTTAAAAAATTGAGTTGCTCAGAATATAAAACAGTAATTAATTTTTTAAAAATTGAGTTACTCAGAATATAAAGCAGTAATTAATTGTTTAAAAAATTGAGTTGCTCAGAATATAAAACAGTAATTAATTTTTTAAAAATTGAGTTACTCAGAATATAAAGCAGTAATTAATTGTTTAAAAAATTGAGTTACTCAGAATATAAAAGAGTAATTAATTTTTTTAAAAATTGAGTTGCTCAGAATATAAAACAGTAATTAATTTTTTAAAAATTGAGTTACTCAGAATATAAAGCAGTAATTAATTGTTTAAAAAATTGAGTTACTCAGAATATAAAGCAGTAATTAATTTTTTAAAAATTGAGTTACTCAGAATATAAAGCAGTAATTAATTGTTTAAAAATTGAGTTACTCTCAGAATATAAAGCAGTAATTAATTTTAATAAAATCGAATTTCTTAAGATATAAAACCGCAATTAATTTCGAATAAAATTGATTTATGGAGATTTCACGACAATGGAAGATGTGCATGACCGTTTTGTGGAAGTTCAGTTAATGAATGTAACGATGCATTGGGAGAATGATGCATCAACGTATTCGCTTCTCCGCTGCATTGGTTGAGATATTATCCGAGAAACACGGGGTTCGGTGATTTCTGCAGCTGTCCTAAGAACAGTCGTTACTTCTTCGCTTTTTCTTCGGGAGAAAATGAGAAGGCTTGCTGTCGAGGAAGTGCCCTATAGAGTTCCCAGAATCGTGTGATCCTCGAACGTTATTAAGCCTCTTCCACGGAAATCCTCAAATCTCGAACTTGTTATTTCTCGCCGATTTGCGGCTAAGAGAGAAGATTAGGTGCTGTTGTCTAGTGTATTAGCGTTCGCCACGAACAGCCATAATGTTCTGGAAACTGATACAGACGCGGTGAAGCGGTTTGTTAATTAAGTTCGACAATGTTTGATCGTGAAAATCGAATTGTTGCCGAAATAGGTAAATAAATGATCAGTTACTAAGAGAGAAATGAAGGAGAAGTTTCTTAATTAGATGTTACAATGTTTGACAATGTCGGATAATGTTTAACGGTTTAGACGAGATTGTTAGTTAAATAAATAAGTAAAGGAATTGCTAGTAATCCAGATAAATGAAAGAATTTAATAAATAACGAATCACATAATTGTATCTTAATTAGGTTTGACAGTGTTTGACGTGTTACAATAAAAATTACAAAATATAGAGACAAGAGAACTGCCCTCGAATTGTAAAAAAAATAAAAGAATTACTATTAAATGCAATCGGAGAACAAATAAAAAATACATTGATCTTGTTTGACGATGTTGCAGGTGAAATTGCTACCAAAACAGACGTACTAAAAAATTGCTACGATATCAGACAAATAAAACAATCGCTGCAGAAATAAGCAAATAAAACAACTGCTAACAGACGTTATCAAAAAATAAATTAACAGTATGTTAGTCAGATTTGATAAATTTTGATATTGCAATTGATATCTTAAATCAGACAAATAAAATAATTACAACAGAACCAGATAGATAAAAAAATTGCTGCCAAAAGATAAACAAAAGATTAGAAGGGCGCGGTAAAATCATACAAATTAAATAATTACAAGCAAATGCTATCAGAAGACAAATTGAAAATGGGCTATATTAATCACGTTTGATAATGTTTGATGTTGCAGGTGAAATTGCTACCAAAACAGGGAACCTTCGTGCCCCGAAAGGCGAAGCAGGCCAATCAACCTTTCGAAACGACATTCAGGTTGCAGGTAATCCAACAATCTCTAATATCTTGCTGCTCGTATCTGCAGCTAGAAGAACGCTCTGAACAAGTAGTTCTTTTCTCCCACGAACGATAAGGCCCGATCACGTCATTCTTTTATTTCCGACACTGTTTCATCGATGACACACAGTTTGTTTCAACAATCGGTTAGCGATTACGACGACTCGTGGAATTGTTGCAGGTGCATCTGCCCAGGAACCAATTGTACGTGTCCAGAGTCAGCCCGAAAATGAACCTCGGCGAAATATTGGACGAGGTCTGTCGCGAGAAGAATCTGGACAGGAGCAAATACGAGTTACGTCATCCAGGTAAAATGCGGAGTTCCATAAATTTGCATTTCTTAAGTTTTAGGTCGCCCATTAAAAGGAGAAAAAAGGTTCATTGATTATTCAAGAGCTAATTTTGATTTCCATGCTGGTTAAGTGTGGAACACAACGAGAGAAATGAAATTGTCAAAGCAGCCAAACGTAGAGGAATAAAATTGTGAGAATAGAATTGTTAGAAATACCTAAATATGAAAGACAAATGATATCGTAAAAGATAGTTAAATGTACAAGTGAAATAAAATTGTCAAAAGCAGCCAAACGTTAAGGAATAAGATTGTTAGAATAGGATTATTAGAAATACCTAAATATGAAAGACAAATGAAATCTTAAAAGATAGTTAAATGTATAAGTGAAATAAAATTGTCAAAAGAACAGCCAAACGTTGAGGAATAAAATTGTTAGAATAGGATTGTTAGAAATACCTAAATAT